GGGGGGGGCGCAGTGTTTGTGTTGTCTATAAGCTCATTCAGAGCTGATTTACCATGACCTGGAGAAGTATCTTGTGTTTTTCCATCTCTGTGGAGCTGCTAGATGGGGTGGGGTGGGGGGGGCGTTTGGGGAAGTTAATCCACAGAGAATCAACAGCGCAGCCTGGAGCTGGAATATATCTGGGTCGCTGAACGGGGGGGAAACCATGCTCTTTACTCCCTCCTAGTGGACAAGGAGCGTGGCCTGCATGAAGAGAGATGGCCTGAATTCCTCCACCCACATCCTCACTCACATCTAGAGGAAAGATCACACCCAACAATAAAGAATTGGGAAGCAGTCTTACATTCTCAAACTTAACCATTACATTAAACACGATATGTGTCTAAATTCACAGTAAAACCCACCCGTCATGATAAACTTTAGGAAATTATGTCTAAAGAGAGTCCATCAGTGGCTGACTTCTGTGACCTCTTGAAGACAAATGTCCACTCACTTTGGCTCAGGGGGCGGTTTGGGAGATTCCCCTCAATGATGCCAGCTCATTGGGGAAAAACAGCACAGCCAAACCGTTGTGTGGACGTCCGTGGCACATCTCAGTCAAATATCACATTCAGCAGGTGAAAGAGGCCCATGCTTTGTTGGTGGGGGCCCTCTATGGACAGACACCACTGATGTCCCACATGAGAGCACTGAGATCCTCAGATTCAAACTTGTGAGGGGGAAGTTGGAGGAGTTCTGAAAACCCCATGACAAAGGTCTGAATCCATCGTCTACATGATGTAAGCGGAAAGGTGGGCGGGTTTATGTGCTGCAAGGTACGGGGGGCGGGCTGGGGGAGCGTGTGTGGGCGTCCTGTTGGCACGCCAAAATCTCCCCGTCCTTTTACTCATCCCATCCGGGGGCAGCAAGACAGAGAGCTGATGCTGAGACCCCCGGGGAGAGATTTGTGCTGACAGCACGACAAAGAAGAATGATGCCCGGGGCCCAGAGCTCTTCCACAAATTCAGATGTAATGTACGGCTTTAACCGTGCCAGAGGAGGATCAGCGTAATATACCATCGACCCACTTTGCAGAGCAATCCGCTGGCAGTGATGGAAAAGCGATTTTTAACAGTAAAAATGTGA